TCAGGAGGACCCCTCCTACACTTTTATGCTGTTACCTTTTTCAGAATATTTCCTTGAGCACTGACTGTGCACTAGAAGTGTGAGAGCTGCCCGGGATACAATGGAAAACGAAAACAGATGTGATTCCTGCCCTGCAGGACTTACTGTCCAGATTATGTCTCCCATGTTGTGCGCCCAGGTTGGGCGTGCTGGTGTAGACACCTGGGGCTGAGCACTGCTACCAGCCCCCTTTCCAGGGAGCTCCTGGGGTAGTCAGCGAGCCCCCGGTCACTTGTTCATATCTGTCTGTTTGCAGCCTTCCTAGTGTCACAGGCTGTTAGGGCATTTCCTTCCTTCTTCTATGTTCAGAGTTCCCCATTAGTTGGTGAATCTATTTTGTATTTTGGTTTTTTTTCCTGGATGCAGTGAAACTCAAATCATGTTGAATTTTCTATTTCATAGGAATAGATATTGGTTCAGTTGCCTCTACCTTCTCCTTTGGGCCTCATATTTACGGTAAAAGCTTCTCCAGGCATGGGAGAAATGAGTTATCATGAGGCATAAGCGCCATTGAAGGGTCAGCCGTATTGTATGTACATAAGGGGCATCTGGGACGTACTACTGTATTGATCCAAATAGAAGCATCCCAAGTGTTGAGTAGCCCTGATTTTCAGTAAAGTGAGACATTGCATATTACTTGAAATATTCATTAATAAACATCAAATATAATTATTGAATATTACAGCTTCATTGTAAAATCCTACAGAGTCTTGTCTTAAATCACCTCTCTTGCCTCTAAAATTCTAACAAGAAGATACTAATTAAGGCTATGGCCTCTTTTAAGATAAGTTTCCTCACAAGATGAAAATCAGAAGCTGGTTTCTATTTCAAAGCAGAAGAAACATGGCCCTGTGTGGGACAGTTCAATCAGGATGAAGGAGACAAGAAAATACAATGGTGGAGACAGGAGCCAAGAGAATGCCATCAAATATTAAGGTTTTTCACTTGTTCTTCTTTCATATTCCAATCTCTTTTCTTTACACTTCTAGAACTACAGTTTATATTAACATGGGCTGCTTATGAGCTATAAGAAGTGGGGGTGGGGGGGACTTCATGTTCTACTTTGTAAATCGTGGCTTCATTTGAAATTCCTTTTCTTTCTAAGTGAAGGAACACGTATGACATCACAGAGAAATCTTTATTCAAGAAAGCCATGGATGGGTTTGTAATAAAGCTGTGATCAGGTGCACTGGTGGGAAGGAGACACCATATAGGATGCTCAGGTAACTGAAAGTGGTCACTAACTTGCTTTGCCCAACAGGTGAGTGAGATGTTGGAGAGCCTGGGCCTCCAGAGCGATGCAGGGTAAAGAGATCTCTGGAGGCAGCACTGCCCAGATTTGTGGCTGAACTGTGGGTGTGCAGTGCAGCCTCTTTTTAGAAACATGCCTTTAAATCTCCACAAAACTCTGTGTGCTGTATGACTTCCTTGGTGGTCGTCTGGAAATAGCTGGCATTTGGGGGCATAAAGCTCACATGTGAAGGAAAAACCCATGTGTGGGTTGAACAGTGCCTCCCCCCAAAAAATCATGTCCACCCAGAACTTCAGAATGTGACTGTATTTGGAAATCAGGTCTTACAGACATAATTAGTTAAGGATTTTGAGAGGAAATTATCCTGGGTTTAGGTGGGCCTTAAATCCAATGTCCGGTGACTTCTACAAAGAGGACAGGACACATACAGAAACACAGAGAAAAGGCCCTTGGAGGGTGGAGGCAGAGATTGGAGTGATGCTCCCACAAGCCAAGGAGTGCCAGGAGCCACCAGAAGCCAGAAGAGACGAGGAAGGACCCTCCCCTAGGGCCTTTGAGGGGGCGTGGCCCCACCCACACCTTGATGTCAGACTCCTGGCCTCCAGAAGAGCATTTCTGTTGTTTAAAGCCACCCCGTTTGTGACAATTCCTGGCCACCCTAGGAAACTCACTCGGTAAGTAACTTAGTCTTTCAGCACCTTGACTTCCCCAGCTATGAAATGGGGGATAATACTGTCTTTTTCACAGATTTATTGGGAGGTTTAAATGATAAAAGTTATAGAAAGCCCTAGACCCGTACTCGGCACATAATAATAGTCAATAAATAATTGAAGGAGAGGTAACCCTCCTTTTCTTGAGGTTTTTAATCTTGGAATTAAATGACCCAGAAACAATCTCAGGTTTATTTTTATCATTTATGTTCTAAGTCTAATTAGTTCCTCAAGTACTTTAAACCCATTAGTTACACTGTTTATAGAAACTGCCTTGAGCATCCTGCATTTCTAATCATTTTATTTTTTAAATATGTGGTATCTAACAGGTGGTTACAGAGGCGAGGAAGGTGGGGGGAGGAACGAAATGGCTGAGGGAGATTAAGAGGTACAAACAAACTAAATGAGTTCCAAGTCTGGAACATATTGGGTGGGGAATTTAGTCAATAACTAAGCAGTATCTTTGGTGACGTGTCATAGCTGGACTTATCATGGAGGTCCTTTTGTAATGTATAGAAAAAATCACTATGCTGTGTAACAGAAGCTAACAGTGTTGTAGGTTAATTATACTTCAAAAACAAATAAACATACAGACAAACTCACAGAAAAATAGATCAGATTAGTGGTTACAGGGACGGGGCTGGGGAAAGGGAGGGATTTAGAATTGTCAGTCAAAAGATACTACAAACTTCCAGCTATAAGATAAATAAGTACTAAGGATGTCATGTACAACATGATAAACAAAATTAACCCTGCTGTATGTCATACATGAAAGTTGTCAAGAGAGTAAATCCCAAGAGTTTTCATCACAAATTTTTTTCTATTTAATTTTGTATCTCTGTGAGATGATGGATGTTCACTAAACTTACTGTGATAATCATTTCATGATGCATGAAGTCAAATCATTATGCTGTACACCTTAAACTTATACAGCCCTTGTGTCAATTGTAGCTCAGTAAAACTGGGAAAAAAATTATCATTATGAAAAAAAGCACTTGTTAAAGTGCATTTGACTGGGCCCTGCCTCCTCGCTGATTCAGAAGATCTGGGGTTTGGCCTGAGAGTTTGCATTTCTAAATTTCCAGGTGCTGCTGATGCTGTTGCTCTGGGACCACATTTTGAAAATTACTACTTTAAACTATTTGTCTATGGGTTATTTGTTGACAGTTAACCTGAAGACTTCATCCCAAAGAGCCCAATCTATGTTGGATCAGACTCTCCCAGCCTTATCTGGCAATAAATGCAATTTAACACTCACCTTGTTACCATCTTTAATTTTCCTTTATCACGAGAGTTATCTATTCATGTATTTTCCTCACTTTCTTTTACTCACATGATCTTCCTTCCTCAAAAACTAAACAAATAAATAAAAACGAAACAATTCTTCCTTTTGAAAAAAATTACGATGATTACTGCTACTCTTTAAAAATAGTATGTTAAGAAAGTATACACCAGACAAGGCTTTTTATATATTTCAATTTAATCCGGAACTTCCCCAAACAAGAAAGAAATCTGCAATTATGGCTCATGAATCTGATTTTTTAGACTTCTTTAGTAATTGTACATCTGTTCAAAATGCCACATCAGCATTATTGGAAACGTCTGAATAAAAACCAGATTGTAAAAACCACATGAGTCCAGCCCACATACACGAAAAAATGGAAGAGGCAGAAAATGATTAAGGGTGATTATTGTTAGTTCAATAACTAGTACTTATGTATTTGTGTCTTTGGGGGGCAGGGGCAGAGGTGGCCCCCCTCTCCATCTCTGTGCCATTCCTGTTACCTGGGTCCGCGAAGTAGCATCGCTTAAGACCAGAATGAACAAATCCGTAGAGAAAAATTCTCTTTCAGCTTTTTGGTCTTCACTCCCCTAGTTTCTGGGGCTCAAATTTATTCCTTGGATCCAGGGAACAGATGGTAAGTCTTTTCTTCCATTGTCTCCTACAACCTCAGTTTTAATTTTAAATGGAGAATTGGTAAATAAGTGGCACTATCGAGACTGTATGATTATCTGCATCCCATATGGTATCAGCGCTGAGCGTGTAGCAGGAGGGTGAGACCTTGGTGATGTGTATATCCGCCCTGCAGGCTGCATCCCGAAGTGTGCGCTCATTTCTAAGAAGATGTGTGTGTCCCCAACTGATGTGGTGTGTCCCCAGGTGAATCTGGGTCCAAGACGAGCTCAAGGCCGCCCATGAACGCCCGGGTGGGCCGCGTTAGAGCGTGCGCGTCTGCAGCCAGGCCCCAG